AGGAACCCCTTGATTGCAGCGGGCTGTTTTGGCCCCGGGCGGACATCCTCGCAACTCTGACCTCGGAAATGCCTTGCCCCATGGCGGCTTGGCCGCTTTCGCCTGGGTTACGAGATGCCCTGGGCGTAGGTGGTCGGGCCACTTTCGCCTGAGACAACCTCGCAACTCTGACCTCAGGGACGCCCTGCCCCGTTGCGGTCCGGCCACTTTCGCTTGAGACATCCTCGCACCTCTTGTTTCCGAGATGCCTTCAGCTGCGGTGGTCAGGCCACTTTCGCTTGAGACATCCTCGCAACTTTGACCTCGGAGATGCCTTGCCCGATGGTTGTCCGGCCGCTTTCGCCTGAGACATCCTCGGAACTCCAGTGTCCGAGGCCACTTTGGCCTGCGACATCCTCGCAACTCTGATCTCGAAGACGGCTTGTGCGCGTCTTGTGCGCGTTCACTCTTCGCTAGACCATTCGGATTCCTTAATTATCCTTGCGAATCGTGCCGCTGCAGTGCCCCCGAAAGGTTCCCAAGATGGCGCGAGAGGGATTTTGAACAGAGGATGCCCTGACAGGATGCGTCCGTTCATGCTCCAAAACGGGCTCGCGACTTTCCCCCGACGTCGCCAAAGGATTCAACACGGCTCCCACGTAGACACCCACTTGCAGGCCGCACGTCCACGAAATGTCCGGCGCCCGCCTCGTGCACCGACTTGTGGGCCACCTGGAAAGTTACTTTCGTCTGCCACGGGAAGTTACAACAACTTAGAAAAGTAACGTTCGGGCTCCAGAATAAGTTGGCCCGGCCCCAGGTGAAGTTGAAACAGTTACTTTTCGGCGAGGCCGAGAATTTGTCAAACATAAGAAACAAGTAACAAATTAACTTCTCGGGGGGGGGGCTCCCCGGAGCTCGAAAGTTGCCGAAAAGTAACTTTCAGGGGGGGGCGGAAAGTTGAAACAAGTTATTTTTCGGGGGCCTGGAAAGTTGGAAACTGTTGAACAAGTAACTTTCGAAAGTTGCCCCCCCCCCC